CATTTGTCTGAAACGGTATAGGGTTTCCTGCCTAGGCAGGGGGTTGGACTAGAAGACCTCCAAGGTCTCTTTCAACTCTGCTATTGTATTGTATTGACTATTAAATGGGCAGAAGAAGGCTTTCTTGCACCCTGTACTATAGAGGCAATTGAATGGCATTATCAAGGAATCTCTGCCTCCTGTTATGGATGGGAGGAGAAGCAAAATAAGTTGGTGCTACTTCTAATCATACACTATAAACTTCTAAAATAGTTTAGGCTTCTGTGAATCTCACTTGCTTATTATTTTGGTACATACACAAAAATAATATTATGTGCATTTTAAATGCACCAGGTATCATGGCTACAGAGAAAAGTCTGTCTAGAGATTGTCATTAAGACTTTCAAGCAGAAGAATACAGCATGGTTTCCAGGAAAAATTGACTAAGGCTTTGTTATTTGCTGCCAACTTAACCCCTAATCCTTTTTTTTTCCACCCAAGAGATTTCTGGTACCTTAGTGAAGATGGTTTATTATGTTGTTTATATTTGGTTCTTATGCTTTAAAAAATTTCAGCTACAGAAGCAGAATAAATTATGACAGAAAATTCATGCAAACACACTGGAGTTATTCAATATGTCTTGGCACAGTTCTTTACTGTCTGTTCCATCTTTTTAAGAAGACAAAAAACTTCATGCTGTTTTGAAGATTAAGAATCTGTTAAAAATGCAATCCATCCTCGTTCTTGAATCGACATTTGAGTATTTAAAATATTACACATCCCAGTCTCCTGATTTACTTATTTACTGAATCAATATAGACACAGCACACAGAATAAAAATCCCCCCAAACCATTATTTTTATAGTTAAAACAAGCCCGGACAGTCTTAGATCAAACAGGATGGAGAACTGAGTTGAGTTGATCCTGCCAATAAATGCCTCAAAATCCATCCCTCTTAATCCCAAAGAGGAAGCAACTGGACTTTCATGAGGCAACTGGACATTCTTGTTTTTTTCTTTGAAGACGTTTCGCTTTTCATCCAAGAAGCTTCTTTAGCTCTGACTGATCCAGCGAAATGTCTTCAAAGAAAAAAACAAGAAAGTCCAGTTGCCTCATGAAAAAGCACTTTTGGAACAACCACGTCCTGGATGACTGAGAATCTCTATAGAATCCCTCTTAATATTTCCCTTTCTCAGCAATTAAAATATCACTACAGGTAGTCCTCAATTTACGACAACTAAGCCCAACATTTCTGTTGTTAAGTGAGACATTTGTTAACATTTTTGCCCCATTTTGTGACTTTTCTTGCCACAGTTGTTAAGTGAATCGCTGCAGTTGATAAGTTAGTAACCCAGTTGTTAAGTGAATCTAGCTTCCCCATTGACTTTGCTTGGGAGAAGGTCGCAAAAGGGGATCACCTCACCTTGGGACACAGCAACGGTCATAAATATGAACCAGTTGCCAAGGATCTGCATTTTGACCACATGATCATGGGGATGCTGCAAAGGGCATAACTGTGAAAGACGGTCATAAGTCGCATTGTCAGGTGCCGTTGTAACTTTGAATGGTCACTAAATGAACTGTTGTAAGTCGAGGACTACTGTATTTGTCAGTTTGAAGTACACTTTCCCAGCAATGAAGTCAAGGTATCCCTATTTTCTAGTTTTTCACTGAAACATACCGGGATGTGGGTAAGAGAGCAGTAGATATCAAGTCATCAGCAGGGATGATGTTTCCACATGGACTACCGCTGGGGACAGGCCCAGGTCGCACCACAGACACCTTCACTTTTTCCCATTTTCCTGCAAACTGAAAGAAGAGGGGAAGAAATGGCATTGCCCATGGCGTAACGTGGCTGGATGGGTAGACAGTGACAAAAACCACATAGTGGTGTTTTTCAACCTTGGCAGCTTTAAGATGGCTGGACTTTAACTCCCAGAATCCCTCAGCCAGCAATGCAGCCTGAGGAATTCTGGGAATTGAAGTCCATACATCTTAAAATGGTCACGGTTGAGAAACACTGCCAGGTAGCAGTCCGGCCAAGAATAAGGGACAGATAGTAAGGTGAAAACTGTTCAGACTTATATATGAATGAGAAGACCGTGTTTTGAGGGCTTTAAATGGAATTAAGACAAAAGGAATGGGAGCATGAAGAAATTTAAAGCGGGGTGGGACAAGGGAGGATTTTCCACAGGCAACACCAGCAAAGAGGGCTGATTTTCCCCGTTAGCTTTCCATAGACAATTTTAGACCAACACAACTTTCTCCCTGGGGCAGATTTGCAGAAATCTTTCCAAGCCACGTATTATTAAACAAAAATGGGAAGACTTGGTTTGAATTCCTTGCTCAGAGGTGGGGGAAATAAATGGAGAAATGGAATACGTTGCTCCTGTGAGGAAGGGGTGTCAAACTCGAGTTTATTGAGGGTCACAACAGGGTTGTGTTTGACCTTGTAGGCTGGGTAGGCATGGCCATGGTGGGCGTGGCCAGCTCAATGTCACTCATGTTGGGAGCACCTGTGGTGGCCCGGGCAGTGCTTTGGGGGGGGGGGGGAGAATCCTCCTGCAGCCCTCTGCCAGCAAAAACAGAGCTCTGTTTTCACTGGCAGAGGCACCGCAGGGCGGTCCTCCGTTATTTCCAGGATGATCCTACGGGCCAGATCTAAGCACCCTGTGGGCCAGGGGTGAAATCCAGCAGGTTCTGACAGGTTCTGGAGAACCAGTAGCGGACATTTTGAGTAGTTCGGAGAATCGGCAAATACCATCTGTAGCTGGCCCCAGAGTTGGGTGGGAATGGAGATTTTGCAGTTTCCTTCCCCTGCCACGCCCACCAAGCCACGCCCACAGAACCCGTAGTAAAAAAATTCCAATTTCACAACTGCCAAGGGCCTGATCCGGTCCACGGGCCTTAAGTTTGACACCCCTGCTATAAGGATCATTGAGAATCTGCTAGCTAAACATGACTTATAACCTGACAAAAAATTAGAGGCAATTGAGGATACAGGTTTTGGAATCAGTTCCTCCCTGACAATGACATGAGTTGTTAAGAGTATTGTTTTGGTGATTGCCAATTTAAAAAAAAAACAGGCTCTATACTTAGGCCTTTAACAGGGATTTTCCGGGCAGCAGACACATTTTTTCCTGGCATGAGGACCAAGTGATGCAATGGCCTCCAGATGTTTTATTTCTGTACAGCAGGTTGCTGTAAAATAACAAAATCAAAGGGAATAGTTTGGGAAGTGGAGGCCTCACAGCAGGTAGAGAAGTTGAAATAATACAGTAAGTAGAGAAATGTTTCTCAAACTTGACAACTTTAAGATCCATGGACTTCAATTCCCAGCATGCTGGCTGGGAGTTGAAATCCATACAAAAGTTGCCAAGATTGAAAAAGACTGCAGTAGAAGCTCAAAATTCGTGAATGCTGCAGATGAAACTTAGCAGCAAACCAAAACAATCGTGCCAATTAAACTTTACATTCATGAAGTTGAAATTCATCATTTTAAATAGTTAGTGACAATGAAAATTTAGGGAATTCTGTTAAAGTAACCATTGCAGGTAATTTAGGGGTTCCACCACAAAATCGCGGAGGACAAAATCGCGCTCGACGAAAGCGCGCATTTGACGTCATCACAG